TACTACTACTACTGCTACTGCTACTGCTACTGCTACTGCTACTACTGTTACTACTGACTACTTACTACTACTACTACTACTACTACTACTACTACTACTACTGCTACTGCTATTACTACTACTACTGCTACTACTACTACTACTACTACTACTGCTACCAATGCTACTTCGAGCCCCGGAACCGAATATGTTCTTCCTGCGGGCTCTGTGCATCTCTGTGCTTACAACGCGACCGTCGCTTTTACTGCGCACCTTCCTCCAATCCTGTTGTTGCAGTGAGGATGACTCAATAAGGAATTACTGGATTCTTCAGATCATGTCGTTTTGCTCCAGGTGCTACCACAAAATTCGCGAATGACTTGCACGCACGTTTTTCTGTAAACACCGCATTTCGAGCAAATTCTCAGTTAGTTCCTTGCAGTATCTCGAATGTGGAATCCTGTCGTGCAGGAGAAGGCAACGCCTTGTCCTTATGGGTTGCTGATTGTTGCTAGAAGAAGCATCGTGGCAACCATGCTTGCAGCCTCTTGCCACAACAATAACCAGAAGCAAAGTGCAATCATGCGTTTCACAACGGTGGCACGTAGAACAACTGCCAAACGTATGCACAGGATGGAGTGCGCCAAAACATCATGTTCGTTGCACTGGCACTCGACGCAAGTACTGCCTTGAAATGCAACGATGTGAGGATGACGGACCCGCCGGAGAAATCGGAGCCTGAAACGAGCCACTTGGTTGTAGCTGTAACGAACATATAGTGTGTAGTCATTCCAGTCGACAGGACCTTGTCAAACACACAACGAGGTAGTACGTCTTGCCTTCAACAGCCCCAGAAAATGCATATGGCTAGGCCTACGAAAGCAATAAGGAATGAACAGTAATCCCAAGTCGGTGCCTAGTAGATCACGTAAAGCACCTCTTATGCTAGAACTCACATGGGTGGAGTACATGCAGGGGATCACATGGTACGTGTTAACAACTGCATTGTGCAACTCTTCTCATGCGTTGCACAGCTCCGTCCCACATTGTTTCAATGCTTTCACGAATCCAATCCGTCAGGACTGAAACCCGGCAGCACACGTAAACGACAAACAAGAGCAAAACTCGCCGCAACACTACCAGAATCTTCTTACATCTGCCGGACCAGCAGCTCGTTTGCCAAATCAGGCAAGGACAAGGATGCATTCGCCAGAGGCAGCTTTACCGCAACTGGCATCCCGAGTAGATCCCCGGCAAGTATCACCTGGTCGAAGGCGCTTCGAGTGAACGACATCTACGGCCCATGCCGGTGTGAAGGCTCTTGAACAATGCCGCGGAGCACAATGCAAACACAAAATATTAACTGTAGGACACGTGCGCTTCATGAGCATCATACGGCGGAATTATACAGCCATAGCACCCAGGCTCAGCTATGACACATCGGCGCAACACTTGATACACCGAACTGGCGACTGGATACCCGGCACCGAAAAGTATACACACTACTGGGACATCGAACCCGAATCTGGCGCCGGATGGCGAAGTCATCTTCTCTACTCGTCCTATTGCGACTTCATGCTTACGACTCCCTCTATCTGTGCCTGGCTTTAGCCGAGCCGTCGCTCATGCCTGCAACCGAGAGGCTCCGTAGTTTCCACGCCCAATCAGGTTCTTCGGGTTGAAACTGAGCTGTCTGGCCTCGCCATTGGTTCGTCTCAGCTGGTCTCTTGATAGCATCCATTTCAGCTCAGGCAGCTGTACAACTTTGCTCTGACTTTCACACCTGCCCGTTTTCACCGTTTCTGGCCGCTCCACATGGATTCCTTGTCTGGCAGGCCTCGATAAGCCAGTGCTCCTGCAACATCCGGAGAGAGACGAGGCTCAGAGGGCTGAAGGCCACATACTCCAAGCATGACAGTAGGTAAGCCCGGGTAGGTAAACCCGCGTCGGCAGACGCGAGACAAAGAGTGAGTGAGCGAGAGAGAGAGAGAGAGAGAGAGAGAGAGAGAAAGGAGAGAGAGACAGAGAGAGAGAGAGAGAGAAAGATAACAACCAGCAATAAAGAGAAGGAGCGCTTGCGGATTCACTTGTGCATCCATCCATCCATACATACATCAATCCATGCAAATATGCATGCATGCATAAACGTGTGCTTGGATGTATAGATGTATGTATGTATGTATGTTAAAGCAAAAACTCGTAAATTTGCACTGGCGTAAGTATACATAAATCCATACATACATGTGTAAAAATACTAGAGACAAAAGCACATAAACTAACAAACGAACGAACGAACAGTAAACAGCAAGATAGACAGACAGGCAGACAACCAACCAACGAAACAGACAAACCGATAACCTGGTGTGTGTATATATATATATATACATAGCGCGCCTACTTTTAAACACCCGGACATTTAAACAGCTTAAACAGATCATTTGCACTAGGTCTGGCAGCAGTGGCTTGGGGCCGCCCAATTTTAAAACATCCGGAAGGTTTGCTTCGTTGCCCCCTCCACCTGCCTTCCCAACCTTTTAATCCTTGCAGCCTTCTCCAGCCCTCCAGCCTTCCAGCCTGCCTCCCCCTCCAGCCTTCCGCCCTCCTTCCAACCTTCCAGCCTTCAAGGCCTTCCAGCCTTCCAGCCCTCCAGCCTTCCAGCCTTCCAGCCTTCCAGCCTTCCAGCCTCCAGCCCTCCAGCCTTCCAGCCTTCCAGCGCTCTTGCCTTCTAGCCCTCCAGCCCTCCAGCCTTCCAGCCGTCTTGCCATCCACCTTCCAGCCTCCAGCCTTCCAGCACTCCAGCCTGGAAAGCTGGAAGCTGGAAGGCTGGAAAGCTGGAAGCTGGAAGGCTGGAAGGCTGGAAACTGGAAGGCTGGAGGGCTGGAGGGCTGGAAGGCTGAAGGGCTGGAAGGCTGGAAGACTGCAAAACTGGAAGGCTGGAAGGCTGGAAGGCTGGAAGACTGGAAGACTGGAAGACTGGAAGGCTGGAAGACTGGAAGGTTGGAAGGCTGGAGGGCTGGAAGGCTGGGAAGGCTGGAGGGCTGGAAGACTGGAGGGCTGGAAGGCTGGAAGGCTGGAAGGCCGGAAGGCTGGAAGGCTGCAAGGCTGGAGTTCTGGAGGGCTTGGAGTGAAGGAGGGCAGTAGATATTTAAACTTCCCGATTTAAACAGGTCATTCACACTACCTCTGTCATCCTTGGGCCTGGGCCGCCCTCCACATATTTAAAAACCGTCATCGTATATATATATATATATATATGTACACAATTCATACACACATACATCTCTCTGTGTGTGGACGTGTGTATACATACATTTCTCTATACACAGATACATATGCTAGCTGAAAACATTATCAATAATTCATCCATCCATCCATCCCTCCGTCCATGCATGCATGCATGCATGCATGCATGCATGCATGCACATCTTACATAGAATGTGCTTTTAATGAGCACAAGAACGGGAAAACACCGCTGTTTCATCCGTTGGACAGACCCCGTCCTGATAGCCAAGCGCCACCATGTGCTCAAGCTGTTCTCTGCAGTCCGTTTTCATATCGAAGACAAACTGTGTGAAGCCCGTCTGACCTGCAAGGCCAGGCCACGAAACGGTGCAACATAGTACAACTGTCAGGTTTCACCAGCTGGGGAGTCATCCGTGTTGATTGGGCATCACTCGGCTGCAGATTCTTAAGCATGGAACAAACAGCTGCACACACCTCCCTGCACGCGCTTGAAGAACCCGCGGGGCTAAATGCACTTCTTTCGCCGACTTGCGTCCAAGCAGCCCGTTGTGTCCTTGGCAACCGACCAGAGTAATTAGCAGCATGTAGCAACCATAGGCCATGTCACATAGACTTAGTCCCCCGACACGGAACCAGGCATATCATGTTGCTGGGACGCACAGGTTCCAATGCCGCTACTCTTGCGGCTGCCCTCCCTGAGGATTCTGGCTAACAATGCAGCTAAGCAGCGGTGACCTCAGCAGGCAGCAGTGCTAATGGATTGTCCACCCCACATCGCACACCACAGGGTGGTGGGCGGAGCAAAGGCAGAGTATTGGCAGTATGACGGAGAGGAAGAGACAGTGAGAGCGAGAAAGATAAAGAGGGTGCATGCTAGAACGACACAGGGAGGGAGAGAGAGAGAGATGGATAGATAGATAGATAGAGGGAGAGGGGGAGGGAGAGGGAGCGAGGGCGGGGAGAGCGAGAGAAAGAGAGAGAGAGAGAGAGTGCGAGCGAGAGAGCGAGAGCGAGAGCGAGAAAGAGAAAGAGCGAGAGTGACAGCGAGAGCCAGTGATGCAGAAACGAGAACAACTCCCGAAATCAGACGAAGATTTGATCCTTTGCCACGGTGTACACTTGCATCTCGTCACCCAAGTGCCGCAAGGCTACCATGGACTGCAGGTCTGCAGCCCGTCGGTTAGGACTCGATCTCCCAGAAGACATCGAGCTCTGGGCCTGGATCAAAAGCCCTCGCACTCTGCAAAGCCACTGCGCCAAACACTGCCAGAGACCGAAACCGAGACCGCGTCGTTCTGAAGTACCGAGAAACCCCGCTATCCGGAGCAGTTGGTTGCCGAGGCTTATGAGAAGAGAACATGGGTGCGGGACACCCTGCCAGTGAGTTATCCTACGATTTGTCTTCGGGGATACAGCACCAGTTCGTGAGCTTCAGCCGAAGGTCAGCAACAACCCGCGCACTGTTGATGAGTACAGGCTTTTTTCGGCCATTTCCCAGCAACCACAACGCCACCGTGGACCATGCTGCTAATGTTGCACTACAGTGGTTGGCGAAGCTGTGCTCCGATCGCACCAGGCCTGCTCCAGCTTGAAGTCGCTCTCAAAGCGTGCGACCCTGCAAGGTCATGCCACGATGAAGACGCTGATGGCAATTGCGACCGAATTAAGACAAGGCCCGAGGTACGACAAGAATTGAATCGACAGGTATGCCTGGTGAACCCCGAGCCCCTATGCCCAAATCCGGAGTCTAGCTTTAAAGCCAGACGGTGTCCATAGGCGCCAGGCGGCATCTCCACTAACCCTCGAGTCGCGAGCATTGGTAGCAACGACATCCACTCCCCGTGTATGCAATCGCCTCTCGGAGATCAGCTGCAGACGCTGTTGGCGCTCATGATTCTCCAGCTGCCGCTTGGCCAGGGACGCCAGGGCCGTGACCTCGGTTTTCCCCCTGAATCACTTCCATGACATGCACATGGGCCGCAAGCGACGAAGGCAAACAGTGACGCAATGGAAAGTTCAATCAACCTGGCATGGCCATGATTCTGAGCTCCTCTCAGCTGTCTTTTCATTAGAACAGAGTTGGCAGTATACTTGCCGACGCCAACAACACAATGCGCCAACTCTAACCCGGTAGGATTTACATTGCTTGTCGCACCTTCCAACCAGTTGACACACAGTACATACCCGGTCAGCAAAATCACCAGCGAAGCGACGCCACCGAAGAGCGCCAAGTTCATAGGGACGTTGAAAACGCCTCCGTCGAGTCGAACATTGGTCGTGCTAGGTGTAAGTTTAAGTGAAAGCACGTGCGGTTGTGACGTCATGTCATCAGAAAGACTGAACACACAGAGAGACATGCCGACGAAGGCACATGGATGGGTGGATAGGAACATGAAAAGAGACAGGACAGACAGATGGACAAAGAGCGAGGGAGTTTTGCGCCATACACTCACTCATCGAAAATCGACCTCACCACTACAAAGCCTGTCCGGATGCCCGCCTCTTTTTCAACGCGGTCTCTCTGCGGTGACTCCCTGGCCTACAGTGGGCCTATAGAAAGAAAAGGGTCCGCTGAAGGCGTGGCCTTGGTGGCTTCTTGATCACATTGCCGCAGAAGGCCGCAATCTTGGTGGCATACAGGACAGGAGCCGGCACACGCACAGCGTTCGGAACATTATAGTACATAAGGCAGAGCCGGTTTGTAAGGTTTTCGATCAGCTGCAGGGAGAATCCAGCTCGGTTGATCAATACCGTATAGTGCGTTGGGACAGCGCTCCCTTTGGCAATGGCCTGGCTGAGCAAGAAGAACTCGGGGGTGGGACCAGGACAAACTATGGGGTCATCCACAACAGTACCTGGCTCAGGGTTTCTGATGTTCTCCTTGTCACCCCTGAAGATCCGCATGTCAGTCTTCCTGGCAATGCCGATAACCACAATTTTGGGTGCGTATCCTCTCTGGAGTTTGGCAGCTGCAGTCACTACTTGCAGCAGCGCTTGCATCTCTATCGCATCAACCAAGGGCCATTCCTCCTGGTTCACCGATGCACGGTACACAACAATGGTTTCCGGCAAGATGCCATCGTTGCAGTCTGTAAAAGCATTGAGCGCATCACGGAAGAGGCGCTGAAGTTCAACGGACAAGCTGGTCCTCCACCTCTGCATGGATCCCTTCTCCAACTCGGCTGCCATGGAGTAGTACTGAGAAAATACCTTGTCCAAAGTCGCGGAGATTCCGAGCCAACGGGCCCCTTCGAAGGTGAGGTAGACATCAATGCCAAAGATCATGAAAGGACGCTTCTTGAAATTCACAAAGGCAGCATCCTCTGAATCCTTGGGGATGATTTGCCACAAGGGCCCGCAAAACTTCGCATTGATCTGCTGGACCACCTTGTGGAGGATGGAGCCGATGGATTGGCGCTTGCGGATGGTGTCACTGCGAACGACCTGCGAGATGCAGGGATACTGCTCACATGCCAGGTACTTGAAGGAATGGTACACCTTCCTCACGTCCTTGTTCGGGATGAGCAGCATCATCAGCTGGGTGCTCGGGGTAATGTTGTCGACGATCTTTGACTGCAGTTCCCCGTGCTGGTCACTGCAGCAAACCTTTATCGGTTCCTCCAGCTTACAGCCGAATGCAACCCTCGCAACATCTCGCAGTGACCGCAACCAAATCTCCAATACTGGCTCATCCGTCTGCGGGTAGAACAGTAGCCACTGATCGATTGTGACAGGACACTGAACGCCGTTCCGCAAAGACCGAGCAAAGCTACCTTCCTCAATAGCATAGATCTTCTTATCATTGAAGCCCACCTGCAAAGTCTCTAGCTGCTTTGCGTCCACCTCGAGAGTTTCTGTTGGTGGTCCCAACTGACAGCCCCAGGCCTTGAGCGCTTCAGGCAATTCATTCTCCATTTCCGTGCAGTGCCTGACGATGACATTGTGCCTCTCCTGAGGGGAGACTTTGATCTGCTTCAAGACCTCACTTAGGGGACTCTTCTCCTGGCGCATCTCGTCTGTCACACCCGTAGGACAGCAAAACTCTGGCAGCAAGAAAACTTTCTCCTTGGCCTTTTCTGGATAAGCTTCCAAGAGCGGCTGGCCCTTGAATGTTACAGACTTCTCGTAGAAGGTTTCCAAATACTTCGCATAAGAAATTTCGACAAACTTCTCCCCGTCACCCCCTCCTCGCTGATGATACGTGAAGGTGCTGAAAGGATTCATGTCGAAATGCACTTGCTTTATCCTATAGACACGGAAGTTGTAGTTCGTCACGACGGTGGAGGACACACAGAATCGCAGCCATTCGGCCCTGATTTCCGGAAATGGCTGAAAGATATCTGTGCCTTCCATGGCACCTTTCAGGACTTCCACAATGTTCTTGGCACTGGCCGGCTTGTGCAAGACATCCAGTTGCAGTAAGGGTCCAGCACTGCAAGGCCTGGCAAGATTCACGCAAAATGCACTGATTACACTGTGGTGTCCCTTGACCTGTTGGCAGTCGTTCTTGTAAAAGCGCTTGCCGACCCTCTGTATTCGGCGTTGCCCCGCTAGCTGGTCAGCAATGTACTGCCCTACCACAGAAGCCGGGCCCATTTGCCCATCCTGGATCTTCTGTGCAGAGATTTCGGCCACATGGCAAACATCCAGTTGCACGAGCTTGCCGTTCTCGTCGCATACCTTCAACGGAAAATTCTCCACCTGAGGGATGATTTAAAAACCGACGGCATTGTTTGAAGTAGATGCGTCCGTACTTTGAGAGCAATCGAACCCCTTGTAAAACGATAAGAGTAAAAACAACTAGAAGACGAGTGGCCC